ATCTCAGATTCTCCAGCATCGGCAGTTCCTACTATCTCGGTCACTTATGGAGACTGGTTTTCAATTTCCAGTTTATTAGTTGTGTTTAAACCCCACCTGGTTCCAGTGTGGGATGTGAACCAGTGTCCCTGGATCTTTAGCCTGGCCTCATTACCACATGCTGCCACTTTCTCCCAAATCTGCCCACCCTTGTTGTTTGAGACCCAAGAAATAAGGAGGAGGCACTTGATGGTGATGGCAGAAGGTGGAAGTCTGTTCCAGCACAAATTGTCAATATGAAGAGTTTGGGCATTTGAAGAGATGAGATGGGGGCTGCAAGATACACCCGAATTTGTCAGGAACAGGAGTTGAGATCAGTCAGTTTGAAAGGGTTTGAGCTTAATGTCCTTTTCCTGTAATTCTCTTCTCACATAACACAAAACAAAGGCCACCCTGCCCATCATGTCTGTGCCAGCTCTTTGAAACTACTACCGAATTATTCTCCTCCCCTGCTCTAGTCTTGGCAATTTTTATCTCTCCGTGTATTTATCTAATTTGCTTTGCATGTTCCTGTTGTGTCAGGTTCCACCATCCTTTCGGGCAACTCGCACTCGGTCATTGGAACTTCGAGTGTGGTGTTGAAAGAAGAAATCATCTCCTCCTCCTGGTTCTCTTGCCAATTAACTTGACTTTGGGTAGGAGTTAATCATAGAATTCACAGCTCACTAACAGTCCATTTGTCCCAGACGGTCTGTGCTAGATTTTAGGAGAAACACAGGTGAGGGGCTAGAATGTGGTGAGTTGAATAATGTAGATGTATAAAGGGGAAGCTCAGTAAGTGTATGTGTTTTGGGGGGTAGGGAACAGAAGAAATTAAGGATGTGTTGACAGGGTGAGGAGAAAAGGAGGTTCATGTAAAACATGGTCCTTTTGAGCAACCAATCACCCGTTTCTCCTGTGGTATAAATTGTTGTCATCATTTGAAATTTGGCATTCTTGCATTTGTCCTGATGAGTTCAAGCCAACGAGTTTTGCTAACATGTCTCTCAGCAAGCTTAGATCTACAGAAGCAGATTGTGGCTGATTCCTCTCTTAATTCCATCCAGCTTGATTCTAAATTCATTTGTATGCTCCTCTCTGAGGAAAAGGAGATTCCTTATTTCCGGGTTTCTGTCCTGAATGGCCTGGCTCTGACTTATGTCTCCTCTTCCTAGAGTGTCCCAGCGGCAGAAAATGTTCTTCCCTAGGTGTCCCATCAATTCCACTCGAAGCCCTCAAGAAGCCTCAGTTGAAATGCCACCTGCCTTTTGTGGTTTGGGGGGAACATGGTGGCACAATGGTAATATCACTGGTCTAGTAATCCAGAAGCCGAGACTGATCTTCCAAGGCCGTGGGTTCGAATCCCACCATGGCCTATGGTAGAATTTAAATTTAGTCAACAAAATCTGGAATGTAAAACTAGTCTCAGCAATGGTGACCGTGAAGCTAACGTTGATTGTTGGAAAAACTTACTCATGCCCTTTAGGGAAGGAAATCTGCCATACCTGGCTTACATATGACTCCAGAGTTAACGTTTTGGGTCCGGGGACCCTTCCTCCTGAGGAAGGGTCACCGGACCCGAAACATTAACTCTGTTTTCTCCTCCACAGATGCTGCCAGACCTGCTGAGCTTTTCCAGATTTACAGCATCCGCAGTTCTTTTGGTTTTTATGTGACTCCAGACCCACAGCGATGGGATTGACCTCTGAAATACCCTGATCGAGCCAAATTGAAGGTTGGGTCAAGGTAGAGATGGGCAGCAAATGGAGGCCTCATCAGTGATGCCCACATCCTGTGAGCAAATCATATTTCTGTTTAATAAATGTGCCATTGTGTCAATCATTTGTGAACAGTGTTGTACACTTTGGGAGTGCCTTGCGGTACTGATGGGGGTTTCCTGAAGGAGACTTTTAATTTAGTTTTGTGGTTTTTTTTTTGTTTGGCTGCAGGAATCAAGCCGTACAAGTGCCAGTATTGCAGCAAGAGCTTTAGCCGACGGGCCCACATGGTAGAGCACCAGCACTCTCACACAGACACCTACACCATCCGCTGTGCCCCTTGTGGCAAAGGCTTCACCCGCGAGAAATACCTCAAGCAACATCGGTGTGGGCTGCTTGCCAGGCGAGGGGAGGAGCACCAGGCACGCAAACGGCGTCCCGGTGCCCGCAGGGGGCCCTGCAAATCCAAGAGGGGCCCGGCCGAGAGCCGCACAGCCCCGGGGTCCGAGGAGGGAGTGGAGGAGAGGCAACCTGCCCAGAACGGGCAGTGCAGGGAGGAGCACGTCATCGTCCTGTCGGAGTCCGAGGAGGCAAACGCCACCAACAACACCGACCAGAACTGGCTGACCATCTCGAGCCCGGGGACCAGTAGCTTGACCGAGCTGCCCAGCAGCCAGGGGGTAACCATGGTTACCGTCCCAGTTTACATCCAAGCCTCGGAATAAACAGGCTCTGGACCGACCTTCCCACTACAGCAAAGACTAGTTTTTTTTACATTCAATAAATATATGTAAATATGAATATATCAATGAGCTGTCCTGACAGAGAGAATGAATGAAAAAAAATCTTGTTATCCCTTCATCTTCGAATTCTTTGCATAGAGTTACACAAAGGCCTGGGAGCTGGTTTTATGATATTTCAGCTAAATTGCAGTGCGCAATAGCATTCAAACCACAAATAAAAGGCACTTTTCCAGTTAACGGGAAAAAGGTTTTTCCTCAACTCGTTTATATGTGGCTGAAGGGAGAAGGTGGTATCCCTGATCTAGGAAATGGGTGCGATCTCTGTGACATTTCCGTGTGGTTCCATGTCAAGGCATCGTCTCTTTGGAACCCAGAAAGAAGTAGTGTTGCACTTCTCTAGCAACTTCCATGATCCCCCGGTTCATCCCAAAGTGCTCCATAACCAATGAAGTACTTTTTGATCTAGTTACAGCAGGTTCCCGCAAACAGCAGTGTGATAATGGGTGATGGGTTAGCTCAGTTGGTTGGATGGCTAGTTTGTGATGCAGAGTTGCACCAACAGTGAGGGTTCAGATCCTGCACCAGCTGAGGTTACCATGACGAACGCTCCTTCTCGACTTCTCCCCTCACCTTAGGTGTGGTGACCCTCAGGTTAAAACTCCTCCAGTTTTCTGTCTCTGTTGAGAGAGACAGCCCTGTGCTCCTCTGGGACTATGGTACCTTTACCAATAACCACATTGTATAGTTACAGATGTTGATTCGAGGGCAAATACTGTCCCAGAAACCTGAGCAGAACTCACCTGCCCCTCTATGAAATACTCACATGGTGTCTTTACTGTCGAGCTGAGAAGCTAGCTGGGCCTTTGGATTAACATCTGCCTGGAAACTGGAAAGCCTGACAACGCAGCACTCCTCTAGAACCTCAGCTTAACGTTTATTGGCTCAATTCTTGGCAATGGACCTGAACCCAAACCCCCCAGCCTCTGATACAATGGTGCTCCCCATCTGATTTGTAATCTAGAGTGAGTGATGCAGGGATTTGGACCCGATTGTGAAAATTATAAATTTGAGAGCTGGCAAGTAAATAGTGTGAGTCAACAAAGAGTTAGTGCATTTGGTAAACAAATAGAGAAGCAGAGTTTTGGATGAATTGAAGTCTATAGAGGGTGGAAGATGGGAGGCTTGTTAGGAGTGTGAGAGAATGAGATCGCAGTGGGCTGGATGAGGGCTTCAGCTGCAGAAATGCAACAGATAGAGTTACAGAGGTGGTAAAGGGTGATAGAAATGATGTAGAATAGTAATCTCACCTTTGGGTCAAATTGGACACCACGGTTGTGAAATATCTTGTTCCACCCTGAGACAGTAGCCAGGGAACGAGAGGGAGGGATTGAGAGCTGCCTGGGTCCAATCTTCAATTTGGAAGAAATATCTGTTGTTAATCCAGGTCTGGATGATGGATATGTAACGTGAATGGAATGGAGGGGATGAGAGTGCAATGATGACATTGAACCGTGTGAACAAAAACTCTGGCATGTTTTCTGGATCCAAAATTCTCTCCCTAGCAGCATCGTGGGTGTACCTACACCAAATGAACTGCAGCACTTCAGGAAGGCTTATTGCAACTGTACAAGGTCCTGGTGAGACCACATCTGGAGCACTGTGAGCAGTTTTGGTTCCTTTATTGAAGGAACGGTATAATTTCATTGGAGGCAGTTCAGAGAAGGTTCATTCGATGATCCTTGTTATGAAGGGATTGTCTTATGACCAAAGGCTAAACAGGTTGAGACTCCCTGGAGTTTAGAAGAATGAGGGGTGATCTCATTGAGACATACAGGATTCTCAAGGGGCTTGACAGGGTAAATGCTGAGAGGATGTTTCCCCTCATGGGAGAGTCTAGGCCATCATCTCAAAATAAAGGGGCATCAATTTAAGAAAAGGATGAGGAAAAATTTCTTTTTTCAGAGGGTTTGTGTGTTTGGAACTCCTTGCCACAGACAACTGAGGGGGTTGGAGTCCTTGTGTCTATTTAAGGCTGAGACAGATAGATTCTTGATCAGTCGGGGAATCAAGGGTTACAGGGAAAGGGCTGGAAAGTGGATGTGAGGAATGTGGGATCAGCCATGATCCTATCCAATAGCAGAGCAGGCTTGAATGGCTTACTCCTGTTCCCAAGCCTTATGATCTTACGGCAGCTCACCACCACTCTCTTGAGGTCAATCAGGGAAGGACAATCAATGCTGGCGCGGCCAATGATGCCCATATCCCCTGAAAGAACAAAACCCCATGGAGGTCACCAAGTTGGTAATGACAAGTGGGCAGGTCTGAAAAAATGCAGCGTTTGGAAATGATATCCTCGATGCTCAGAAACAAGGAGGAAAATGTTAGGCCTCAGTTTACAGAATTCCAGCTAGATTTATACAAGTCATACAGCACGGAAACAGATCCTTCAGTCTAACTCACCCATGCCGACCACACGTCCCAATCTAACATAGTCCTGTTTGCCAGCATTTGGCCCATGTCCCTCTTAAACCCTTTGTATTCATATAACCATCCAGATGCCTTTTAAATGCTGTTATTGTACCCACCTCCTCCACTTCCTCTGCCAGCTCGTTCCATACACGCACCACCCTCTGTGAAAAAGTTATCCCTGAGGTCCCTTTTAAATCTCTCCTCTCCCACCTCAAACCTTAAGCCCACTCATTTTGGACGCTCCTACCCTGGGACAAAGTCCTTGGCTATTCACCCTATCCATGCCCCTCATGATCTTATAAACCTCTATAAGGTCACCCCTCAGCCTTCATGATGGTTATCACAAATTTAACAAACCGTGTTCACTTTTGACAGCTTGACTGCCGGAGCATGGCCATCTGCAGTCAGGTCTCGTTCCAAAATACGCTGTTTGATATCCACAAATATTGGCCTGGCTTCACCACCGTAGGGAAGCGAGCTGACGACACAGGCTCAATGGACTTGCAATACCATGTTCACATTCAGATAGCTGTTGTTACACACTGTTTACTCAGCCTGGACATAACGGTTGCAGCTTTTGCAACTTGTTAATTTTAGCATCAAGTGACAGACTGCTGATGATCATATGTAGCTTGAAGTGTCAAGATCCACCAGTGTGTCAGCGTCAATGCTGATAGATGAAGATTGGGGCGGTTTGGTGGCTCAGTGGTTAGCACTGCTGCCTCACAGCGCCAGGGACCCGGGTTCATATTCCACCCTCAGATAACTGTCTGTGTGGAGTTTGCGCATTCTCCCCGTATCTGTGTGTTTGCTCTGGTTTCCAGTCCAAAGATGTGCAGGCGAGGTGGTTTGGCCCAGGGGAATGCATGGTCATAGGGATGGGGTAAGGATATGGGTCGGGGTGGGATGCTTTTCAGAGGGTTGGTGTCGAATGGCCTGCTTCCACACTGTAGGGATTCTATGATTCTAAGGTAGCAACACCCTGGACCATGACATTTGTCTTCTGATGCTAACAGTCAAACCAAACTCCTTAGAACCATTAAAGAGTGTAGTCATTATGGTGCTGAAGCTGTGCCTCATAATGAGATACAAGTACAGAGACAACAAGGTGCAGGGCTGGATGTACAGAGCAGGCCAAGCAGCATCATAGGAGCAGAAAGGGTGGCGTTTTGGGCCTAGACCCTTCATCAGAAAAGGGGGAGGGGAAGGGGGTTCTGAAATAAATAGGGAGAAAGTGGGAGGCGGATAGAAGATGCATAAAGGAGAGGATAGGTGGAGAGGAAACAGACAGGTTGAAGAGGCGGGGATGGAGCCAGTAAAGGTGAGTGTAGGTGGGGAGTTAGGGAGGGGATAGGTCAGTCCAGGGAGGATGGACACGTCAAGGGGGCGGGATGAGGTTAGTAGTTAGGAGATGGGGGTGCGGCTTGAGGTGGGAGGAGGGGATAGGTGGGAGGAAGAACAGGTTAGGGAGGCGGGGACGAGCTGGACTGGTTTTGGGATGCGGTAGGGGGAGGGGAGAGCATTGTCAGAATGAAGCAACTCTCTGATGAGGATTTGCTGCACATTTATCGTGGATCTGAACAGTGGATCTCAATGGTTTCCAATATTGCCCAATGTAACTGACCTTCCCATCATGTTATCACAGAAAGCGATCGCTTCGAGCAGCTTTGGCAGGCAGTCCATTTCCTCCAGCAATTTAAGATTTCATCTGATTTGGGAAATATTGGCCTGGGGGAGGGGTGCAGCACAGATTGACCAGAATAATATTGGAGTTTAAAGGGCAAAGGGCAGATTTCCCTGACGAGTTTTACATGTAAATCTGTAATCGATTCAGTAACATGGGTGATTCGGTGGTAGAAATACCATTCAGTGAGGGAGGCGATGACCTAGTGGATTGTTAATCCAGAGACTCAGGTAATGACCTGGAAAACTGGGTTTGAATCCCGCCATGGCAGATGGTGGAATTTGAATTCAATAAAAATCTGGAATTATGAATCCAATGACGATCATGAATCCATTGTCGATTTTGCAAAAAAAAACATCTGGTTCACTAATGTCCTTTAGGGAGGGAAACTGCCATCCTTACCTGGTCTGGCCTACATGTGACTCCAGACCCACAGCAATGTGGTTGTCCCTTAACACACCAACACCCCCCACCCCGGGCAATTAGGGATGGACAATTAATGCTGGCTACCCAGTGACACCCTCGGCCCATGAATGAATAAATTTTTAAAAAATAATGTGAAAGTATCCCTGGATGTGAAAAATAACCAGGATGGGAGTTTTCAAATTAAAATGTTGCTAGACCTGGACCCAGCATAGGTGAGTGAGCAACAAGCTGTTGGGTAAATGGAACTTAGTGTCAGCTTAAATTTACAAAACATTGAAGAGGCAGTGTTGAAGAGTGGTATGTGTTTATCCTGTGTCTTTGCAAAAGCTTTTCAAAATACATTGCGTCCCAACTCTTCCCAGAACACTGTATCCCATTGGCTTTAAATATGCACCCAACATTTCCTTCGAAGAACCAATGGTGTTTATTCAGCCAATCCCTGAGGAAGTCTATCCCATCCTTCCTACACAGCAGTGTCCACCCAGCTTCAGTGATGGCTCTCCCATCTCTGATGCAGACTCTACAGATTTC